TGAGCATCCAAAAAGGCTTTAAGAGTAGAAATTTCATCCAAGTCATCCCCATTCACAATAATATCATCTACATAAACAGCTATAAGGGTAGTACAACAGTTAGTTTTAACAAGGAGAAGTCATTCAATGAGTGATTATACCCCTAGAATAGAGTGCATGGGACAGCTTGGCGTACCATTGCCTAGAAGCATGTCTCAAGCCATAGAGAGACTTTTGCAATTTACATACTAAAGTAGGAGACCCAGAAGAATCAGAAGAAGTAGAAGCAACAGAAAGACCTTGAGGAAGTTTCATATAAACTTCTTCATCCAGATCCCCATGCAGAAATGCATTATTAACATCCAACTGAAACAAAGGCCATTGTTGTTTGACAACTACAACAATTACACATCTAATAGTGCACATTTTAACAACTGGAGAGAAAGTTTCATTGAAATAAATTTCTTCTACCTGAGTATCACCTCTAACCACCAAAAAGAAATAAGACTGATACAAAAAATAATGGGCTAGGCCCAAGTGCTCTAACTCTTGTGTTGGCCCAGTCTTCGTGGCCCAATCTTCAGGTAACTCCAACAGAATTGTTGTTTCTCAAACATATTAACATGGAACACTCTTGGATTGTTGGCTCGCTAATTAAAATGTTAAAGAATACAAAAGAAAGAAGGTTACAATTATTCTATTTAAACCGAGAAAAAAAAAGGAAAAAATTCAAATGAAATAAATAGAATTCTGTCATGAAAATCGAAGCCTCACCCATATATGCTTTGACGAATTGCTTTTTGTCCTAAGCTTAGTGTATTTGTTTACTATGAAAGTGAAAGGGGTGATAAAATTGTTAGTTACTGAAGAATATGACATTGNTATATAAGGAATGCATCTCTTCCAAAACATTGATAATTCCACAAACCCTTGTGGTTTTAGTAAGCCTTCTCTTGCGGTAATATTCGACAAAAAGAATCGGAAAGCAAGACTGAAAAATCAAACGTAGAATTTGTTTCAATTAGACGTACGAACTATCAGATAGCAGTCGAGTACTAATTCAACTCTCCTTCAAATATAGAATTTCCAAAAGTAACAAATTTGAAAACTTCTTTCAATATAAAGCAAGGTGTAAGAGCAGTGCAAACACTAAAATCAACAACATTATCAAATATCAATCAAGAGTCAACACTACAACATAATTCATTTATAGCTACAAAACACAATGTAGCTAATTATGAAATTTTCCGTAGCATTCGTAGCAAAATATAGCGCTAAAAGTTAGCTACAAACTTTACATGGTCTGTGGCTAAGGATTAATACTTATTGCTATAAATTTTTTGTATTGTAGCTATATGTATAGCAATAATTTTATACTTTTTGCACGACAAATACATTTATAGCAAGCAAATGATATTTGTCACGACCCAATTCCATTATAGGCCGTGATGGCGCCCAACAACGTTGTTAGGCAAGCCAACACTGACTAACTAGTGATTTTCCGGTTAGATAAATTTGTAAACGATAGCTTTTTCCTTATTTAAAAAAAATAATTTAGGAGTTTGCAATTTTAACATAAATAAATGAAAGCAATTAGTACTAATCGTAATTATATGAGCAAACCAAAATCTTAAGTCTACTAGTGTGTGTGCCGAGACCTGGTGTCACAAGTATGTGGGCAATCTAGTAGAATATACAAAACAATGCTAGCCTACTATGCGAAAGGAAATAGACGGAAAATAAAAGAACATAAGAGAGACTCCAACTGCTGCAGAACGGCTCAAAAGGACAGCTCACCGGGAAGTCTCGAGCTGGAAAATCAGTCTACGCGCTGGACTGGTGGCCAGCTATACCTGCCTCAAATCCTGTACAATCAAGTACAGAAGTGTAGCGTGAGTACATAAAAATACGTACTCAGTAAGTATCTAGTATAACCTCGAAGAAGTAGTGACGAGGGGTCGATTTCGACACTCACTAGGGCCAACAATATAATAATATCTGATTCTAAATAAGCATGATACACAGAACTAACAATAAACTCAAAACAAGAAATAACTGTACAGTTCTTCCATCATCTCTAAGAAACCAAAATACTTCCTTCATTTTAATCAAATGATCTCTAAAACAGTAAATTTATACCAATTATAAAAAGGGCTTCCACTTCTATTATCACACACAAATTCCACCAAGGACGTTCGGCCCGATCCAACATGAAAAGGTAAATTGTGCACTGCCGAGGGTCGAACGACGCGAAGCATAGGTGCATCTATTAACCTTCTGAGGCGAACGATCAGCTCCCATGAGAATAGTGGAAATAGTTACCCCGTTCGCGGAATATACTTGCGACGCGGTTAAATATAAATATAACGTAATTTTTCTCAATTCTTTTCAAAATATTAATTTACCTAAAACCTTTGAAATCTTGAAAATCCTCAACTTAGTTCCATTCAATGCAAATAAATAATTATGTTCAGATAACGGTACCCACAAAGTATGGTGTAAGCCTAGAACTACCCGGACATAACAAGAATAGTAGCTACGTACGGACTCTCGTCACTTCGTGTGTACGTAGCCCTCACAAATAATCATATATTAATTAAGTTCACCTATGGAAAAATTTCCCTCTTACAAGGTTAGAAAAAAGACTTACCTCGCTTTAAGACCTACTTTCCGGTCCAAACTTATGCCCAAACCCTCAATTTGGTGCGGAACAATCCAAAACTATCCAAATAGTGTAGAAACTAATCAATATAGGGTTAAAAGTTCATATCCCTACTATTTAAGTAATTTCCTAACTCTAAATGCAAGATTCCTAAAATTCACCCCTGGGCCCACGTGCCTGGATTCCGGATTCAAAGAAAGTTGTTACTCATAACCTTAGAAACATAAATGTATGATTTCTATTAAGTTCCATAACCATTTTCGTGGTAAAACTCCATTTTTATCAAAAACCTAGGTTTTCCTCTAAACTTATGATTTTTTCTAATTTACATATCATAATCTACCCATAAACTATGTATTAAACTCACAAGAGGTAGAAATTACTTACCTCACAAAGCTAGGTCGAAATCTCCTCCTTAAGAGCTCCCAAATCGCCCAAGAGTGTAATAAATGACCCCAAAAATGCCTAAGTCCCGATTTTAAACTCACTGCCCAGGTTTGCCTTCTTCACGATCACGGAAGAGGCCTCGCGATCGTGAAGGCAAACGGCCCAGGCCCAGGAAAATTTACCCATCGCAAATGCTACAAGAGCAACGCGAACGCGAGGGCTTCTTCGCAAACGTGAAGAACGAACAACGGCCACCCAGCTCAGCCTCTTCTACGCGAACGCGGGCTAGGTCACGCGAACGCGAAGGCTAGAGGGCCCAGATCTCCGCGAACGCGGTCCTGCGCACGCTAACGCGTAGGGGAAAAGCTCCCCAGCCCACAGTACCCCAAATCCTTCATCGCGAACGCGAGGGTCTGACCGCGTTCGCGAAGAAGGAAACCAGAAGCAAAAATCTGGTGTGTTTCAACTCAACTCAGGGCGGTCCGAAACGCAACCGAGCCTTTTGGGACCCCGTCCAACTACTCCAACAAGTCTATAAACATAATACAGACTTGCTCGAACTCTCGAAACGCGTAAATCAACAACAAAACCAAGAATCACACCCCAAAATCAAATTGAATCAAACTTTGAACTTCAAGTTTCTAAATCGCTTCGAACGCGTCGAATCATACTTATACTACTCTGAATGACACCAAATTTTACGTGCAAGTCTTAAATGATATTACGGAACTATCCCCGGTATCGGAATTCCATTCGGACCTCGATATCACCAAAACCTATTCCAAACCAAATTTAAAGAATTTCAAAAACCTTCAAGAACCAACTTCCACTATTAGGCGCCGAAACGCTCCTAGGTCACCCAAACTCAATACGAACATACTCCCATGTCCGAAATCATCATACGAACCTATTGGAACCGTCAAATTCTGATTGCGAGGTCGTTTACAAAAAATATTGACCAAAGTCAAACTTAGCCTTTCAAGCCAACCTTAAGGAACTAAGTGTTCCGATTTCAACCCAAACTCTTCCAAATCTCGAACCAACCATCCCCGCAAGTCATAAATCAGTAAAAGCAAGTACGAGAAGTCTTATTTAGGGGAACAAGGTTCTAGCAAGTAAAACGACCAGTGGGTCGTTACAATATTATTCTCTCAAATAAATCTATAGCTATCTTTATATGGTAGCCACAATGTGTTATAGCGTGGCAATAGATTTAAATTTATTTTCCACGAAAATTTAGATATGTAACTGCTTTCATATAGTACCCCGTGGCAATTTATTTTGTTTAGCTGCGGACTAAAAGTTCCATGGCTACAAATCATACAAAAAAAGTCATGGTTAGATTATTTTATTATTTTTTGACAAAAAAGTTAATTTATTATAGTGACAAAAGTTTGTCTCACAAATCCACTGTTTCTTAGCTATTTGATTTTTTTCTAAACTTTTCCAATTATTCTATGGCCGTGCATAATATATTAAAACTAATAACATATTAAGCTTGAGAAATAACTTATTCTACACAAATTGGCATTTAAAAAGTTTCACAAAATAAATTCCAACATACACATTTGTACTACTAAATTAATAGCATCTAGTAGAGAAGTCTTCTACAATAACTAAAATGTGAAGAAAAGAACTAGCCAATGTGAGGCTTGATTGTAACAGAGATTAGAAATAATATACAGAATTTCACATTAAATAAACATAAGTATTTGCTTGATGATTCATGTTGCCACCCTCATGGCACCCGCATCCGAGAATAATGAAGCAGTTTCCGTAATCACTANATATATATATAGATGCATTTAGAGTAGTAATTAAAAAAATCAATAAATTATGGAATAAAAAAAACTTAGCCATGAATAAAGAAAAAAAAAAAGATCTAAACTTTTTTCCAACATAGAAAACAAAAGAAAAAGCATTTAAATAAACATCATAAAACTTAAGGAGATGAAAAAGAAGTAAAACTTACAGTTAGGCATTGGAAGAGATTGAAATTTCTCAAAGGCACTTTTCTCTTGAGCACCCTATAAATAAAAAAATAAATAATTGAAGCAGAAACTCAAGTCAATTAGGTGTAAGGCACAAAACCTATCAAATATTCAAAATCGCACTCACTGCGTATAAAAAAAGGGCATAATATCTATCAAATTGCTGAAATAACTCGTAAATTGAACTTAAAACCCCAAATCCAAGTAGGTGTAAGGAGAATAAAAAACTCTACGATATAGAAGAGACAAACCCACGAGTTAAAATTTTTGTCCATAAATGAGAAGCAGCGGGAATACCCTCTTACTACTCTGTCTTTCTTGCAGATTTAAATTAACGCCACTACTGTGGAAGAAGGGAATAAGAAAACGGAGAGGGAGAGTGGAGGCTGAGGTAGAGGAGAAGTTTAGGTTTTGGTTTGGAGGTTTAGGTTTAAGTCGTCCCTTTTCTTATATATTTGTCGTTATTTACTTCTTAATATAAATACTTTAGATACAAGAACAAAATTCAAATACCATAAACTCAAATAAAAGTAAGAAAATTACATATAAGCAAAAGAATAAATATCTTAAATTTAAGTAAAACAAAAAAAAATCAGCTATTCGCATGAAATAAAGATATTCTAAAATATATTTTTCTTTATAGCTTTTTCATCTTATATGATATTGTTAGTTTTGTTATATGTTCATATTTCAATAATATTAGCTTCTTAATTTTAATGTTAAGTTAGGTTTATGATAATTATTAAGTTATTAAAATAGTATTAGATTATTAAATCAATAACTTTTATACTTATCTAAATTGAATATAACTAGTAATCAATGTAGATAGATACAAGCACATAATTCTTTAAATCTAATATATAATATATTTAAGTTTAACTAACTATAATTATATACTTATTTAAATTAGTTTTGAAACTTTAAAGTAATACTTTGTTTAATATGAATAATGATATTTATTATTTACCAAAAAATAAATTATTACTTTATACTAGCTTGTTTTGTTATACACCCATATATCAGTCATATTAAGTTCTTAGCTAATAGTGAAAGTATGTAACTATGATGAGCCAAAAGGTCATCTTTAAATTTAATAATTATTTCTATGTTCTAAGACCTCAAATAGCACCATTCAGCTTTTCTCGACTTGCGTGCGCAGTCCGTAAATTTTTTCGGAAAGTTTTTTGTGAAAAATCGATTAAAATGTGAAATAGAGCTTTAAAACTCAATTGGGTTGACTTTGGTCAATATTTTGAGCAAACAGACCTAAATCAGTGTTTTGACAGTTCCGGTAGGTCCGTATCATGATTTGGGACTTGGGCGTATGCCCGGAATCGAATTCGAAGGTCCCTAGCTCGAGTTATCGCATGTTGTCGAAATTTTGAAGTTTAAAGGTTTAATGATTTAAGGGATTTGACTAATGTTTGATTTTGTTGATACCGAATCCGTATTTTTGGTTCCAGAACCCGGTATAGCTCCATTACTATATTTTATGACTTGTTTGATAAATTTGGTGAGAAACGGAGTTGGTTTGACGTGATTCGGACGTCCGGTTGTTAAAATAGAAGTTCTAAAGTTTTTTTGAAAATTTTATTTTATTTGGAGTCCGATTCGTAATTCTAGGCGTTATTTTGGTGTTTTGATCGCGCGAGTTCGTATGATATTTTTGGACTTGTGTGCAAGTTTGGTTTGGCGCCCTGAGGGACTCGGATGAGTTTCGGGGTGGTTTCGGACCATTTCTAGGCCATTTTTAGCTGATAGTTTTTGGCTACAACAGTGTGTTATGCGATAGCGGGTAGTTGGCCGCGATCGCGATGAGTAAAATGGGAGAAATTGACCAGTGCTTCGCGATCGCGGATGACCTTTCGCGATCGCGTAGAGGAAACTTTTGATGCACTGACCCGACTTTGGAAGCTTATATGTCGCAATTTATAAAGAATTTGGAGATGATCCAAATTGTAATCTTTGTGTCTAGTTTTCAGAAAATCAAACCATTTGACATTTGGAGTTGTGTACAAAAAGTTATTGTTAGTACACTACAGGCTATCCGGGAAGATGTTTGAAAATCGCGAAGAAGAATTTTGTGTTGCAAATGGCTGACTTTGGAAGCTTATATCTCGAAATCTATAAAGAATTGGGATATAACCAAAACATGAAAGTTGTGGATCTTGGTGTCTAATTTTCAGAAAGTTAAACCATTTGTATTTAAAGTTTTGTACGAAACGTTATGACTATTATACTAGCGGCTATCCGGAAGAGTTGGAGAAGGTTGCTGGAAACATTTGTTCTTCGCGATCGTCGGAGAATGGCCGCAATCGCATAGAGTAATAAAATGCTAGAAAAATTTTGTGCTTCACGATCGCGGGAGTTTGGCCGCTATCGCATAGTGTAAATTACTGGGCAACAGAACTTAAGTTTTGGAAATGGGATTTCGTCCCATTTTTCATTTTTCACGATTTTGAGCTCGGGTAAGACGGGTTTTGGGTGATTTTCATGGGAAAATATTGGGGGTAAGTGTTCCTTATCCTATATTGATTATATTTCATGATTTCATACTCATTTACATCATGAATTCGTGAATTTATGGAAGAAAAATTAGATTTTTATAAAATCTTTCAAAAATATAAAATTAAGATTTGAATGTCAATCCGATGCCGGAATTCGATAATTTTTGTATGGTTGAACTCGTATCAGAACGCGTGTTCGGATTTTGTATGTGTTTCTGGGATTCGAGACATGGGTCACACAGTTAATTTTTAAAATGAATTTCAGATTTTAATCCGTAAAATTAGTAAAATTTATATGGAATTAATTCCTACGATTCGTGTTGAGTATATTGAATTATTTGTGACTAGATTTGAAGTTTTCAGACACTAATTCGCGAGGCAAGGGTGTATTGGAATCTTGAATTTGGTTGCAAAGCGAGGTAAGTGTCGTGGTTAACCTTGACTTGAGGGAATAGAACCCTTGAATGATTTGTTATATAAAATTCATGTGAACGACGTATAGGCGAGGTGACTAGTGTCTATACATCATCAAATTAATTATTTGCATAATTATTTAAACATCATAAATTATTCTAAGACACGAATTAATTATTATAATAATTATTTCTCTCATATTCCTTGTCAAATATTAATTCTTGAATTCATGCAATAATTATTACATGCTTATTTAATTTATGTGTCTTAATTGCTGCTTGACATTTAGCATATTAAATATGAAATTGCATATTTTCTCCTTGATTTTCACAATTAATTGCTACTTGTCATTACTTGTTTCCTAAATAATTTATAATATTGTGTGCTTTGTTGCCAAATAATTTCTTACTGAATGTGGTATTTATAGGAGTATTTTTATTATATTTAAGAGTTGTTAAATTATATTATTGGAGCGGGTTGCACACCGCAACGGAAATGAAAAAGAATATATTGGGGGATCGGGTTGCACGCCGCAACAGATTATATTTTTAAGTTTATATTGTTGGAGCGGGTTGCACGCCGCAACGGAAATTGATTGAAATAATAATTGTTTATGAATGCCGAGTTGGTTTCAACTGTTGAAATGAGTTACCTGTTTTATTTCTATTATTGTATGATTACGTACATGTTAAAGTAAGCGACCTGCCTTAGCCTCGTCACTACTTCGTCGAGGTTAGGCTCAGCACTTACAGAGTACATGGGGTCGGTTGTACTCATACTACACTCTGCACTTCTTGTGCAGATTTCGGAGTTGGTCCCAGTGGCATACTGTAGATTTGCTCGGATTCAGCTACTAGTGGAGACTTGAGGTATAGCTGCAAGACATTTGTAGCTTTGAAGTCCCCTTCTACTTTATTTTAGATGTGTACTTTCTTTCAGATAACTTTATTTTATTCAGACCCTTGTTTGTATTATTCTAGAAGCTCGTGCACTTGTGATACCAATTCTGGGATGGTATTCAAACATCGCTATTATTATGGATTATTCACTTTATTTCAGACTTTATTTCCGCATTTGTTTCTTTGTTATTAATTAAATTTTAAAAATTATTTTAAAATGGCTAATATTATTCTAACGTTGGCTTGCCTAGCAAGTGAAATGTTAGGCTCCATCACGGTCCCGAAGGTAAGAATTTCGGGCCGTGACAAGTTGGTATCAGAGCACTAGATTACATAGGTCTCACGAGTCACGAGAAAACTTAGTAGAGTCTGAAAGATCGGCACGGAGATGTCTGTATTTATCTTCAGAGGCTATAAAGTTTAGGAACAATATCACTTCTTTCTTATTCTTTCATGCGATTTTATTCTATCATTGATGATTGAACCATTATGTTCTTATTCTCTCGCAGATGGTGAAAACATGTAATATATCTACCGACTGACAGGGACCAGAGATCCCGGTGACAACTATGGCCAGGGGTAAAGGTCGAGGCCGAGTCGTGCTAGAGGCCGAGGCAGAGGTAGAGCTCAGTCTAGAGCTCGAGCAGCAGCACATGTTGTAGAACCTCAGGTGGATCTTCAGGAGGAGGTTCCAGTTCAGACTGTACCGGGTGGACCAGTTCAGGTTTCGGAGGGATTCATAGCTACTCCAGTTCTTCAGGACGCTCTAGTCTGTTTGGTGAGTCTTATGAAGGGCGTAGCCCAGAATGGTACATTTCCAGTGGTACTAGCCGTCTCACAGGCTGGGGGAGGAGCACAAACTCCCATTACTCCCGCACCGGAGCAGATGGCTCCCCAGTATCAGGCTCCAGCAGCCCCGCCAGTTGGAGTAGTTCAGCCAGTTGTTGCGGCATAGGCCGGTGATAGGTCTGCCATGTCTTCTAATGCCTTATTGAGACTGGATAAGCTTACTAATCTCTTTCCAATTCACTTAAGTAGTACACCTTCGGAGGACCCACAGGATTATCTTAACCGCTGCCATGAGGTATTGCGGAACATGAGTATAGTTGAGACCAATGCGATCGATTTTGTTGTATTTTAGATGACGGGTTCCGCCAAGAGGTGGTGGAGAGATTATACGTTGACCAGACCAGTTGGATCGCCTGCATTGACCTGGGAGCAGTTCTCATAGCTATTTCTAGAGAAGTTCCTCCCTATCACATTGAGAGAGGATTTTCGCAGGCAATTTGAGTATCTATAGTAGGGCAGTATGACTGTTACTCAATACGAGACCCGTTTTGTAGATTTAGCCCGTCATGCTCTCCTTTTACTACCTACTGAGGGAGAGAGAGTGAGGAGGTTTATTGATGGACTCACTCACCCTATCAGGCTTCAGATGGCCAAGGAGACCGGAATTGAGATTTCCTTTCAGGTGGCTGCTAATGTTTCTAGGAGGATCAAGATGGTTCTTACACAGAAGAGAGGGCAGGGGTCTGGTACGAGGCCTTGTCAGTTCGGTTGGTTCAGTGTTGCCTCGTCTGGAGGCAGGGGTAATTTTGGTAGGGGTCAT